CTGTCTTTGTTCTGGATTTTTATTGCCTCTGGAGCAGTAACATTTATGAACCACTGGTCTTGTAAACAGGTCTTTTTCAGCTTTTGTAAATCATCTTATTCTTATGTTCACCATTCACGTGTTTATCCATCTGGAATATCTGTTGCATACCCACCATGCAAAGACACAGTAGTGATTCAGATTTTTTTGAATGGGTATTTTGGGTTACTTTCATAACACTTTTACTTCCTCAAACCAGATTCTTACAGCTCAAAGTTGTAAATTGATTTACTCAACCAAGATATCACATAAATAACTCTCAGTACTTCAATTTTCTCCTGTGGATGGCAATGCCAGCGTTTTGCTGTGACATGTTAGGCTTTTCCATGAGTGAGAATGTTCCAGTAGTCTTAGAGTAAGTTATCTCTTTCTGTATAATCCTCAAACTTTTAGTCCTTTGAATCATGGCCAAGGAGATAATATCTCTGAGTCCTCGTATGATGCTAGAATTCATCATGTTTTATCTTCTTTTTTTAAAACAACAATCACAGCACCGAGTTTCTATTTATTATTCACAATCTACTCTTTGCTGTCTTTATCTAGACATGCCAAATTGTGTTCTTTTATGTGTTAAATGGGAGGATATTCTTAAAATGCTCTCTTATCTCTAACTCTGCCATGTTTTAAAGTTCTTTTCTTTAATGTTAGGATAATATTGTCTCTAGGTAATGAATCATGTTGGCGTGGTATTGTTCCTCAACCTTCTATTACTGGTTTAGTCACATGTAGTAATTTGTGTTAGTTATCACTACTTGCCAAATGTTGTTAATTATAGTTTCCTGTATTTTCCCTGCATTCATGCCATGAAGTGCCTTTTGAGTAAGGATAAAATGTCACGAGTACTTTCACTTTTGTCTGCATTTGGCAATAAGAACTAACCTTTCTGGACATTTGCTTAGGTGTCATTTAATCTTCCCAAGAATCCTATGAAATAGACATTATCATGTATTGAAATAGTTACTATTATTAATAATATTTGTAAGTTATTATTTGTATATCAAAGAAACTGAGTCTTGGCGGGGGGGGTGGATAAGTTAGGAGTTTGGGATTAACATACACACACTACTATTTATAAAATAGATAACCAACAAGGGAACTAAATAAATATTTTGTAATAACATATAAGGGAAAAGAATCTGAAAAAGAATAGATATATATGTATAAATGAATCACCTTGCTGTACACCTGAACCTAACACAACTTTGTAAATCAACTTCACTTCAATAAATAAATAAATCATAAAAATCTTTGCCAACCCCCCCCCCCAAAATAAAATAAAATAAAACGTAGACATGTTGACAAACTAGAAAAATAAAAAAGACACTGAGCCTTGAAGAAGTTTAAAATAGGGACTGTCCTGGTGGTGCAGTGGATAAGTATCCGCCTGCCAATGCAGGGGACACAGGTTCGAGCCCTGGCCTGGGAAGATCCCACGTGCCGCGGAGCAACTAAGCCCGTGTGCCACACTACTGAGCCTGCGCTCTAGACCCCACGAGCCACAACTACTGAGCCCACGTACCACAGCTACTGAAGCCCGCGTGCCTAAAGCCCATGCTTCGCAAGCCACAATGAGAAGCCTGTGCACTGCAGCGAAGAGTAGCCTCCGCTGGCCTCCCGCTCGCCGCAACTAGAGAAAGCCTGTGCACAGCAATGAAGACCCAACACAGCCAAAAATAAATGAATAAATTAAAAAAAATGTTTTGTTTAAAAAAAAGTTTAAAATAAGTACTGAAATAGCTTAATCTCTTAAATATCCCCCTTATGTTTTTTTTTAAAAACATCTTTATTGGAGTATAATTGCTTTACAATGGTGTGTTAGCTCTTTCTGGAGTAAGTAAAGCCATTCCGTCTTTAGAAGTGTGAATCAAAATCCAGTGCCAAAGAGATGTACATAATGTCACACTCAGCTGTAGCCACGCTCATAAAGTCAGCCAGGACTACTATAGCAAAAGTGCTATCACGTCGTGTTCCTGGAAGTAAAAGTGCAACTGAGGACCTTTGTTTGATGAGGCTAATGGCGACAGAGCGCTGAAAGTACATCAAAAGGGAATGAGGCACATGGGCTGGCTAGCAGGGACAATTTCTAGAACCAAAATTCGCCCTACGTCAAAGGCATGGATGGGGCAACATGGCATGTTCTGTTAAAAGTTATTTGTGGAGCAAGAGCATCACTAAACAGGAGGAATGTCTCAGGAATTATTTGGTTCAAATTTATCTTTTGGAAAAAAATAGCTGTACACCATCTTTCACAGATGAACACCTATTGTCTGTTTTTTTTTTTTTTTTTTTTGCGATACGTAGGCCTCTCACTGTTGTGGCCTCTCCCGTTGCAGAGCACAGGCTCCGGACGCGCAGGCTCAGCAGCCATGGCTTACGGGCCCAGCCGCTCCGCGGCATGTGGGATCTTCCCGGACCGGGGCACGAACCCGTGTCCCCTGCATCGGCAGGAGGACTCTCAACCACTGCGCCACCAGGGAAGCCCCTAAGCCATGTAATCTTGAAGGAAGTCCTTGATCTCCAGAAAGAGCACAGTCCAGACAACACTTTAATTTATTAAGCTACAAGCCACTGAATCCTGCCGACAGCCATGTAATCTTTTTTTTAAAAAAACATCTTTAAACCATGTAATCTTTTTTTTTTTTTAAACATCTTTAAACCATGTAATCGTTTTTGTGTTTTTTTTTTTTTTTGGCGGTACGCGGGCCTCTCACTGCTGTGGCAGTGAGCGACCTCTGTTCTACAGAGGTCTCCATTCTCTTGCTGGTTGTCAGCCAGAAGTTACTCTCAGTTCTCAGTTCTCAGAGAACACTCAGAGCTCCTTGCTACACTGAACCTTCCATCTTCAAAGATACAATGGAAAACCTCCCTTGCATCAAATCCCTCTCATGCTTTAAGTCTCTCTGACTTCAGGAAGGGCCCAGTTTCTTTTCTCGGCTCTCCTGATTAGGTCAGGCCCATCCAGATTCTCTCTCTCTATTTTTTAAATTGAAATTTAGTTGATTTACAAGATTGTGTTAGTTTCAGGTATACAGAAAAGTGATTCAGTTATTTGTTTTCAGATTATATTTAAGTTATTACAAGGTACTGAATATAATTCCCTGTGTTATACAGTAAATCCTTGTTGCTTATCTGTTTTATGTATAGTATCTTGTTAATATCTGTTAATCCCATACTCCTAACTTGTCCTTCCCTCCCTCCTTCTCCCCTTTGGTAACCATACACTTATTTTCTATGTCTGTATCTGTTTTATATATAGATTCATTTCTATTATTTTTTTTAGGATTCCACACATAAGTGATATCATATAATATTTGTATTTCTCTGTCTGACATTTCATTTAGTATATTCTCTAGGTCCATCCATGTTGCTGCAAGTGGCAATGTTTCATTCTTTTTCATGGCTGAGTAATACTGCATTGTGTGTGTATATATATATACTTGTATATATATATATATATATATATACCATATCTTCCTAAGGCAGTCATCTGTTGACAGGCACTTGGGTTGTTTCCATATCTTGGTGATTGCAAATACTGCTGCCGTGAACATTGGGGCGCATGTATTTTTTTTAATTAGAGTTTTCATCTTTTCCAGATATATGCCCAGGAGTGGTATTGCTGGATCATATGATAACTCTATTTTTCATTTTTTAAGGAACCTCCATACTGTTTTCCACAGTGACTACACCAGTTTACATTTCCACCAACAGTTTAAGAGGGTTTCCTTTTCTGTATACCTTCTCCAGCATTTATTATTTGTAAATCTCTTTTTGCCATACAACATAACATAATCACAGGAATTAGAGCTCATCATACTTTTGGGTGCCACCCACACTCAACCAGAGGGGATAATACAAAGGCAAAGCTCACTGGAGGGGTGTCATGTTAAGATTCTGCCACCACAGGTGATTAGGAAGTTCTTCCATAAGGAAAATAGATCAGGCTGGACTCTACCAACCTCTACTCTGTTCTCCACAACAGCCACTTAACTATTGGAAGACAACCACTGTGATAGTTCTTTGGGGAACTATTTCCAATGTCTTTTAAACAGTTCTTACATAAATTATAGCAGGATTTATGTCCTCTATTCTGCAGAACAAACTCCAACAAGATATCCAAGGACTTTTTTTATAGTTATATCATATTGGCAACTAAAATCCAGGCATAACCAAATAAAGTACTTTTCCATGCATAGCTAAGCCCAAGTCATTGATCCCCTCACCTTGTATTTTTCTAATAACTTAAGACAAAAACTCAATAATGAGGCCTGTTGCACTGCATCTTGCCAACTTCTCCCCTACAATCGAATCCTCTCCCCTACAAGACGCACCGCGCGGCACGCGGCATCTTAATTCCCCAACAAGGGATCAGACCCATGCCCCCTGCAGTGAAAGCATGGAGTCCTAACCACTGGACCACCAAGAAAGTCCCTAGAGAACTTTTTGAATCTTGATTCTGTCATCTATAGTGTTCTCTCTCCCTCGTAGTGAGGTGTCAGTTGAAGTTGAGATAAACTTGCTGTCACCCAATCTGTTAATATAAATGGTGACTAAACAGAGGAAAGAGACAATCAAGCTCACTTTTTAATTTTCAGTTTTAGTCCCTTGAGTTTTGTTTTGTTTTCCTTGAATGGAAGATGAGGAGAATGTGACAGTGTTTAAAATAATTCAGATGTTCAAAACTCCTGACTTTTCTTAACAACTCTTCACATACTGTTTTTGAAATGGTAGACCTCAAACAATTATCATTCCCCAAGTTTAATCAGAGGCAGGGGAAGTATTCTTAGCATCAATTTCACTTATTTGTATTTCTGTAATTTTTAAAGCCACATGACAACTCCTGACTCCTTGCATGTAAATCTACCCTTCATATTTTCATAGCATTTTCCATCTTTCCTATGTGACCCTCGCAAACCCTGTGAATCAGAAGGGGTAATTGATGTCATTCTTAGGCAACTAACAAGGTCCCAAAAGGTGTCCACAGCCACCCAGTCAGCAGTGGAACCTTGACTAAGATCTGCTCTCTTTTTGCCTTCTGGGGCTGCTCCCACCTGTGATTTTGACACTAGTGTGGTGGGCATCTGTGCAGAGGGGAGCCCCGATGGAACGGTTGGGATTGGCAACCGATACGAATCACGCAGCACTTCTGTCTCAGGAGCAGAATCAAGACGATCTCTGGAAAGTAAATGCAGCAAGCATGGCCAGAGGGGACTCCGAAAGAGAGGATGCTGTGCACATCCTGTGCCTCCCGACATGCCTGGCTGCGGGGAGATATAATGCCTTTTTCATAGAGGAGAGTAGTAATAATGCTAAAATGTTACCAATCGTTCATTGAAAACATCCCAGCCTTTCCTGAGGTGGTTCCATGGAACAGTAGTCTTGAGGGTATCTGTACGCCCTGCCCAACACACACAGGAAGGATTCCATGGATACATACATACGTGTGAAATAGAGCACACTGTAATGCTCCTTTTGGAGATTCACAAAGAACCACAGTATACTACAGGCTCTGAGAGGGCCTGCTGTCATTGGCTTGCCTGTTTTACCTAGTATTTCTCAAACCTAACTGCTAGGGGGAAAAAGCAGACTTTTTATACAGTAAATACCTATTATGATATTGTACAACAGAAGATTTTTTTGGAAAGTGTGTCTTACCTCGTTTAATCCGCACCACAATTCTGAATGGTAGGTATTACTATCCTCATTTTACGAATAACTCAGAGATGTTAAATAACTTACCCAACAGGGCCAGAATTTAAACCCAGGCCTGCCTGAGAACAAATTTCATTCCATTAGGTAGGAGCTATACAGTCCGAAGGCTCCAGGCTCATTGAGGGTCTGGGACTGTGAAGGATGCTGTGGGCTGTTAGTGAGTCTGTGGGTCCTGAGAGGACCACAGGAGGAGACAAGAAAAGCTGACTGTGAATGGAGGGGCTGATGAAACGCGGGGCAGAAGAACGGAGACACTTTTAGGAAAAAGCCACGTGAAGGAAAAAGAGACCCCTGGAGCCAGATGGGAGTGGGAGGGTGGGAGAGGTTGGGAAGGACAGTCAAGGCCTGTACAGTGAGGGCATCTGTCACATTGGCTGTTGTGAGGGTGACATGAAATATTGCTTGTCAAGCACTGAGCACGGTGCCGACACAGGAGGTATAAGCCGCTCCCCGCCAGGAGGAGCTGGGGGTGGCAGAGGACAGAAGGTGATACAGCAAGGTTCAACTGCGGAGGCTCCTGCCATGCCTTCTGCTGTGCTGAGCTCAGCAAAATGACCCAAGCCTGCGCATGGCTCATCTCGCAGACCCTCACCGCCCGTGGAGACGGTTTCTACCTCACACCCTCTCGCACATCACAGTGCTTGTTCCCTTGAACTGACGACTGCAAGAAGTCAGATGGGACCATGGGGAACCTTCAGGAAAGGAAGAGCAAGTGAGGAGAGGTTGTAAAACCACGGACTGACAGGCTTCCAAAGGCTGGGACTAGACTAGGCCCAATTTGACTTTGGCCCACTGATTATCTTAAAAAAAAAAAAGAAAAGAAAAGAATTTTTTTCCAAAGTTTATAATAAGGCTATTTTACATAAGCATACAGATTTCTGGCTTCCTTTTCAAACTTGAAAGATCCGACAGCACTGGGCCTGTGACTTATAGGACAGCAAGTGCCCCGAGGCAGGTGGCAAATCCTCTCAGCTGTGCACCTGGGTCACCCCCTGTAGCCTACCTGCCTCACCAAGTTTCCTGATCCACCTGAGTAGGTTTTGCATCTGTGCTCTCTGCCTAAGCTCTTGAGTAAGATTTATGGAGAGGTCGATAGCCTGTCCCCCTCACCAGGATGCCCTGACAATGAGGTAAGCCTAGCTGGGAGTCCTAACAACGTTGTTTTGGTGGATTTCTCTAGAACTATTTGATCACCAACAAAAAAGAAGAAAAGCGGCTCCTGATCTGTTATTGAATCCTTTGATACTCACGCCCTTTCTATGGTTAAGAGACGGAAAACACGAGGCTCTAAACTTCACCAAAGCAACACCTAGTTAGAGAAGAATTAAGAGCAACCAGAGATTTTCATGAACGCTCGTCGACATGCTGAAAAAAAATTAGATCCGGCACAGAGTTGTTCGGTAGTAAACACAGGTGAGCAGGTTTAAGTCTTTGCATCCCTTCAGTCCAAGGATTTTAGAACACTGTCCCACTGTCAAGATCAGTGGGTTACAATAGTGTACGCCACCGATGTGAGCCCCTTTTGTCATTTCAATTTCCCAGCAGCCACTATAAAGAAGTAAAAAAAAGCGAGTGAAGTTAATTTTCACAATATGTTTTATTTAACCCAAGCTATCCAAAACATTGTCATTTCAATGTATAATCAATGTGAAAATTAGTAATGAGACATTTTACGCATTGCTTTTATTAAGTCCAAAGATCTGTGTATTTAACACTAGAGCGCATTTCCGCCGGAACCAGCTACTTCTCTAAAACCACACGTGGCCAGTGGTTGCCTTATTGGACAGTGCAGGTATACATGAAGTCACTTATTTTCTGTAGGTTCACAAAGGCGGGTAGGTGGGGAGAGAGTGGGTATGGATTTCCCATGGATCTCATGGGGAACCAGAAAAACCAGTCAAGTAACTGATACCTTTCTGATATATGAACCACGTCCTCTGGGTTCCTTTCCACCCTCCAGTGCGCCCTCTCTCTTCCATACCCCCTTTTTCTTCATCTCCCTTTCTCATTGCCTAGCTAGAGTGTGAACAGCACGGGGTGTGGAGGGGGAAGGAGTGAACTGGTTTCCCAGCCTGGCCCTTGGAGGCTGAGGACTTTGGGCAAGTTACTTAACCTCCCAAGTCTCAGATTTCTTGTCTATGAAATAGGATTAATTCCTTCCGTGAGTTCTGAGGATCAAATAAAATAATAAATCTAAACTCCTCAGCACCAAAGAGCTACTGCAGGAGTTTTCAAGTTTTTCATGATTATTTTTCAAGATTTATCTGTGTTAAGTGGTAGGGGCAGTGTGAAAAAAGAATCGGAGGAATGAGAACTTTTTTTTTTAACGTGTGCTCAATCCCAGGTCACGCGCTGTTCCTTCTTCAGTACTTGGTGCTTAAAATCTCTTGGCTCTTGTATGGCATGATTTCAGCCCAAAGCACTCTGAGACCAAGTTATTCAGATATACTAAAGATAAAAGAATTTTTTTTAAAAAAAGTGTTTCAGTTTTTGCCTGAATTTGTCTAATTATATGGAGTGCCAGATAATGAGGATGAACACCTCAGTGAGTGCCCTGTGGGAGTGTACACCGATGACTCTGCAAAATAGCTGAGGGGAGCTTCGCAGGTCCAATCAATGCACGTGAGGCTGGCAAGAATGCCATCATCTAGAAGACACAACTTTCTCGCCCCTGCAGGTCCCCCACTATAAAGGTGTGCCTCGTGGATCTCCAGGAGACTTACCAGACTTAAACCTCTCCAGTTCCTAAAGCCAGCATCACCCCGAGTAGCCCACAGGCTCAGGCACTTTGAGAAACTATAGTAAAAAGAAGGGAAAACTCACCAGTTCATTCTCTCCTCCTGGGTTGAGCAAAGCCCGATGGTCCTTCCTACTTTCCTCCTCCATCTGAACTGGACCTCCCGGCTAATTCCTTGGGGAAATGTCAAAACCACCGGGGCTTCTGTGAACTCAGAACAATCACTACTTGTCGTTGCTGTTCTCAGGAGCTTTTAAAATCTCTTAGCACATGCCTTACCTATTAGGCTTACAAAGGAAAGAGAGGAAATACTTTCCTCAGTCACAGGATTGGTCTGTTAATTTATCCTTTGTTTTTAGCAGGCAATGATGCTATTTTTTTTTAATTTATATATTTTATTTTATTTTTGGCTGCGTTGGGTCTTCATTGTTGTGCGCAGGCTTTTCTCTGGTTGTGGCAAGCGGGGGCTACTCTTTGTTGCTGTGTGCAGGGGCCTCTCATTGCGGTGGCTTCTCTTGTTGTGGAGCATGGGCTTCTAGGTGTGCAGGTTTCAGTAGTTGTGGCACATGGGCTCAGTAGTTGTGGCGCACGGGCTTAGTCGCTCTGCGGCATGTGGGATCTTCCCGGACCAGGGCTCGCACCCATGTCCCCTGCATTGGTAGGTGGATTCTTAACCACTGTGCCACCAGGGAGGCCTTATCCTTTTTTTTTTTTAATTCTTAGTATTTATTTGCTGAGCTAGATGCGAGTGCCTCCAGACTTAAGTTGTTGAACTAGGAAGATAAATAATTGCGTGTCTGTCCATAAATATCTCAGCCAATGAATGGGATTGGCCACTTTGCCAAATACCTGAGACAGAAGGGTTAACCAGTGAGAGATGACTGAAAACCTTACGAACTTTGGAAAAGTAGTGAGCATACTGGGGGTGACAATGAAAATTGAAGGAAGAGGTTTTGGTTATGACGGGGAATGTAGGGATCACTTTGGAATTGGGAAAATCTGAATTCTAATCCCTGTTCTACTGATGACTCTGGACAAATCACTTAAAATCTGAAACTTAGGCTGCTAGTATATAACACGTCAACAATGAGCATAGAGTTGATATGAGGATCTAAGATGATGTTTGTAAAAGCCCAACTATAACATGTGGCACACTCAGTAAGAGATCATCATCTTCACATTAACCAAGAAGAAACAAGCTTTTTAAAGGTAAGGTATAATGATAATAATTTGATTCCTTTCACTTTCCCTTTTCACTTTCCCTTTTTTTTTTTTTTTTTTTTGCGGTACGTGTACCTCTCACTACTGTGGCCTCTCCAGTTGTGGAGCACAGGCTCTGGACGTGCAGGCTCAGCGGCCATGGCTCACGGGCCCAGCCGCTCCGCAGCATGTGGGATCTTCCCGGACCGGGGCACGAACCCATGTCCCCTGCATCAGCAGGCGGACTCTCAACCACTGCGCCACCAGGGAAGCCCTCACTTTCCCTTTTTAGTTTAAGAAGTTTTCAGGTAAATAAAGTAGATGGAGGGAGGAAGAGCTAGGAAGGCTAAATATTGGGGATGTCATCTAGATTCCAACAGTTGTATAACCACCACTGAATTTGATATTTTTATCAAAAAATAGGTGCACTGTGATCCATTCAGGAGTTGGTTAGTTTGTTCACGATAAAAACTTTTATGATATCATTATTGCCTTTTTATTGCATTTTGTTACCACATCAGGACACAATAACTGAACAAAACTCTTGCAGCTTTGGCCATGGAAGAAAATTCACTGAGAATGAATACTACTGGAGGATGATGCTTG